TGTCAAAATTTGGTTGAAATAATGTTACATTGTCATTCAGTGTAACACAGTATGCTTACAACATGCTTATTCTGACGTGTACATATTAAAATATATAAAAGAATAAGGGAGCATATTAAATTTGATGGTGTTTTAAATGAGTAAAAAAATCTTACTGACAAAGGATCGTGGCAAATTTTAAAAGTGTAAAATTACAACTAAGTATTTGGGGTGAAAGTAATTAGTCTTTTAATATGTCATAAATTGATTTTTGTTGTAAATATGCCTGGCAAGATTGTTACACTGAATGACATTTTAGTGGGTCTCTTCTGTAAATCTGGGAAAAATGTATGATATTTATTTTTTGCTCAGAAAAACAAAAACAAAATTGCAATTAAATTAAACAGAAAACTTAAAAAGAAAATTGGGGAAAAACAACAACAATTTAAAGCAGTATTACACTTAATGTTTTTATACTTAAACCCTTTTTCGTCTTTGACCCATATATATGTTGCACACTTAGGAAAAAAAGTACAGTGGTGATGCTTTGCAGTTTTATTTATTTATTATATTTACTATTTACATACTGTTGTACTATTTGATAATATATATTTTTTATTTTCAGTTTTCATTTTAATTTTTGTTTCATAAATTTTATGTGCTTTTTTTCTTTTTCATTGGTTTTATAATTCTGTTTAGCTTTAATTTATTTTTATTTCAGTTTCTCCTTTTAGTAATTTTAGTCATTTTTATTACGACAGCAGTTTCTCTTTTGCAGAATGTGCTGCTGTCTTCTGAAACAGCATTATTTAAACAGACTTAAGTCTTTCTTGCATGACGGTAACTGCGTCCGAAACCTGAGAAATTGTGACGTTACAGGCAGCATCCAGAGGCATCAGCGCAAATCTTCTTTAATATTATTAATTGTATTATTATTATTATTATTATTAATAAAATATTCATGTATCCTTTTTATATATTCAAATATAATATGTAGATATTATATAGAATTATTACATAATTATAAAACAAGTAATAATATAATATATGCAATATATGTAATTGTTTTACTATATAAAATGTATGTTTTTTGAAATATATCATTTATTGTAATTATTAAATATTGTATATATAATTAATAAACAATAATATCTTAATCAGATGTTAACATCATGTAATTATTCATTAATAAATATCCTTTTTTCAGCTTTTAATTGCATTTCTGGAGAAAAATAAGCACATCAATCATTAAATATTCTCTATATACTACAACACTGCCTTGTAAAGTCACTGCCTTTGGTTTTGGACACAGCTCTTCTGTCCTTATTTTTCTATCTATCTGCAAACAGAGTCCTGTTTTCCAGTCTAATGTGATAATGTGAAAAGCAGCATGATTCACATTCCTTTAGAGTGTCTATTCTGCTCATGTTGACGTCTATATTAGCCTTTTGATATGTAAACTAGCTCCAGTCTTCATAATCATTATTCATCACTCACGTCCTGAAGTCACAGCTTCACTTTCTGGTATTGCATCCCTCCTCTCATGTTTGTGGTTCATCCTGGTCTTTTTCCTGGCTGAGCTCTTTCGGTATGACTCTCTAACACTCTCCTGTTCCTGAGGAACGTCTCCTGTCACCACAAAGAGCTCAAGAGCGTCGTCTTGTATAAGTGAGGTTTTAAAGCGAGCTCACAGTTGTGTGTTTGGAGCATGAAGACGAATCATGCATGACTGGAGTTTGTCCACGTGAGACTGTCACGCTGCACTGAAGAGCGTTACTCACCGCCCCTGTTCCTGCCTCTTCCTCTGATCCTAAAGCTTTCCTGCTTCTCATATGAGGTTACAGTAGGTTTTAGCTCGTCCCATCTCCACACGTACAGTACGAGCGATTGACTCGAGGGCTGTATCTGCGCTTGTTCTGCCTGCAGGTCTCAGTGTCTCAGAGCTCGCCCTCCAAAGAGACCAGCCAGGGCAAAGTGAGTTCATCAGCTCATCACACTCACCTCTGCACATCTGTCTAACTCCCCTTCTCTTCTCAATATAGCCCACACAGATCTGACATTACAGTGTGTGTCTTCAGTTGTAGCGTGATAGACTGAGAACTGTTAAATTAAATATTATATGGAGTTTATTTGCAAAAACCGATAACTCCAAAAATCATGTTTTTTATGATGTTATGTTTTTATTCTTTTATTGTGTTAGTTAGCTGTATTTTTAGTTGTTTTTACTTCATCAAAATAACCCAACTGCAGTTTGATTGAAATTAATTGAATTAAAGCATCAAATTAATTTTTGAAAGTTGTTAAAAACAGAGCTATCTGTTTTTGCAAATGAACTCTTCATATATAGTTAAAGAAATATGCCAGATAATATTAGTGTAATAGTTTCATATGAAAATGTTTTAACACATTTTAAATATTAAAATTCGTTTTTATTTTTTATATTAAATTTTTTAATAATTGATATGAATTAATTAATTGAATAAAATTGTGTGTATGTATTTTTGTGTATAATATATATTTTTGTGTTTTTATGATATTATATATTTTAATAGTATATATTTAATATGTTAATATGCCAAATATTTATTACATATTTAATTAATTAATTATTATAATTAATAATATATACTTAATAAACCTAAAATACACACATTTCTCTTATATACTGTTACTGTGTTATTGTTATTTAAATGTTATTACTTTGATTCATCTCAAATTTTAGTACTATAATAAAAAATAAATGATAGAAAATATACTTAAGTATAAATTATTGAGTTATTTATATAACTGTTATAATGTTCATTAATATTTTATACAATAATGTTTTGATATATATTCAGGATTTATATATAATTATGTTTTTCAATAAAATCGAATTAATTAATAATAATAGCAATATAATAAGAATATAGATGTGTGATTGTATTGCTCATTTTCTCAGCAGATATTGATATCGGATGGAAAAAAACACATTGTTCAGCTAGTAATCATCCGTCTTTCCTTCTGGAGATCTTTGGGTGCTTACATTGGGTTTTTAATCATCCAGTCATTGTTTATCATATATTAGGGCTGCACGATTATGACAAAAATCATAATTGTCGATTATTCCCTTGAAATTGTAATTGCGATTATTAATTCCGATGATCACAATTTACATTGAATGCTGTTTATGCCATTGTTTGATGCAACTGCATGCTGTATTTTTATATGAAAATAATCGAGCAGAAAACACTCTAACTGAAAAACCTTTAGTGCTTTTCTATAGTATTAAGCCTCAAATGTCAACTATACATCAGATTGGTTTCTTCTTTAAATTATAAAAAAGTTAAAATATGAATGGTATTATAACGTTATACTAAAACTAAAACAATGGAAAAACCCTTAAGATAACATGTAGAAAGAAAAAAAACGCATCTTAAGCACAGAATAACATAAGTGGACTTTGAACGATTAATTGCCGGTTTGAATGATTACGTAATTGTGGCATCCATAATTGTAATCGCGATTAGAAATTCGATTCATTGTGCAGCCCTAATCATATAGTGTTTGGCTCTTGCACCTCATTATTAAATGCATATTGCACAGTTTGGGTAGCACTTAAGAAAATGCTGGCTGTAAATAAAATTATAAATAATTATAATATTGCTTAACCCTTGTTGGTTTTAAAATGTGCAGCAGTGAACAATCACCAAAGTAATGACATTGCATTATTCATAGACATTTTTTGGTGACAGTTCACTGAAAAGCCCGTAGGATTTGATCTGAGTATCCCTGCATCACAATGTCCATTAGTAGCTCACCAACCAGATACTCATCAATCACTCATCAGTCATTTCTGTTTTGTATCAGTTTCATTCACTTAACTGGTGATTTTTATTAGCTAGGTTTACAAACGAGAGGAAGCGGTGTATTTAAGAGCCCTAATGGTGTTCACACTAACAATCAGCAGGGTGTCTTCACTGTCAATGATGCTAGTTGCTTTCAGATGCTTCTGCTTGTGTCCTCTGTTGTCTTCCCTCTCTAACCTGAACCTCCCTGGTGTCCCGTCCCTCCCGGCCCGCCGTGCTGTGTTGTAGGTTCAGATAGTCTCCAAAAAACTGGACTACAGTCACGTGACTTCTCGCTTGGGCTCCAAGGACAATATGAAACATGTTCCTGGTGGAGGGAACGTAAGTAACGTTACTGCATGCGGTGTAGCCGTCGTTCAGACAAACACAGACAGTCACTGTGCCACACGATGCAGTCAGACCCAACAATGAGACGCTTTCTTCACTTAAGAGCTGGGAGAAACGCTGCCAAATCCAATGTTGCTGAGCTGCATTTTCCAAAACAGCGTTCCAAAGCAAATCATGGTGACAGCAGAGGTTTGCATTCTGGACGTTTGTTCATAATCTTCACTCACACTAACTGAAATCTGCTGCGTTGCTCTCTGAAATCTCTAAAGAGTTTTTAGAGATGTTTTTCATCACCTTCAAGGTTCAAGCACTGCTTGCGACGTCTTTTATTTTAGCAGTGGAGCTTCTATTTGAGCAGCTTCATCAGATGATTGTGTGTTCACAGGTCCAGATTCTCAACAAGAAGGTTGACTTGAGTAAAGTGGCTTCAAAGTGTGGCTCCAAGGCCAACATCAAACATAAACCAGGTATGATGAAACCGTAAATAGTCATTTAAATGGCTTTAAAGGGATAGTTCACCCAAAAATGAAAATGTGATGTTTATCTGCTTACCCCCAGGGCATCCAAGATGTAGGTGACTTTGTTTCTTCAGTAGAACACATATGATGATTTTTAACTTTAACCGTTGCAGTCTGTCAGTCGTATAATGCATGGCAATGGTAACAAAATCTATGAGAGTAAAAAAAACATGCACAGACAAATCCAAATGAAACCCTGCAGCTCGTATTTATATAATTTTTTACCTCTAATACACCACTATGTCCAACTGTCTTTGAGCGCGCGCACGGCATCCGGTGCGTGAGGTGTGTACGCGCTCTGGCGTAGTTTACGTTAACGGGTGTGTTGATATCCAGGTATTAGAGGTAAAAAATGATATAAATACTGTTCGGTTTCTCGCACAAACCGATCGTTTCATGTGTTAGGACATCAATGTGTCGTCACGAGCCGCAGGGTTTAATTTGGATTTGTCTGTGCATGTTTTTTTTTTACACTCATAGACTTTGTTACCATTGCCATGCATTATACGACTGATAGACTGCAACGGCTGGACTTAAAAATCATAATTTGTGTTCTACTGAAGAAACAAAGTCACCTACATCTTGGATGCCCTGGGGGTAAGCAGATAAACATCACATTTTCATTTTTGGGTGAACTATCCCTTTAAAGCTTTCAGTTCCGTCTCAGTGGCTGTCATCTCAGCTTTTAGACCAGTGCGTTGGTGTGTTTTTCTGTAGGTGGAGGCGAAGTCAAGATCGAGAGCCGTAAGGTGAACTTTAAGGATAAAGCTCAGCCCAAGGTGGGCTCAATGGATAATGTCAATCATGAACCTGGAGGCGGGAACGTTACGGTGAGTTTGGCAGGAAGAGCAGTTGCACAAACCTCTGAGATGTTATAGAAGCCAAGTCGTACTTTATTCTACATTTAGACAATTCAGACATTTGAATTAAATATTTGAGGTTGTTTAGTGTTTAAAGGAATAATTCACCCAAGTATCTGTAACACTGCCCTGCATCCAATATTTGTTTTTTACTGAAAAAAAAACAGTCTGTTTTGTTTGAGCACATCACACTTTATCACAAAATACGATGCGTTTCATAGCGTTTTTGCTTTAGACAAGCATTTGTGCGGTGAAGAAGTCTTGAATTACATCTTAATCAGCAGAAAAACAGCACAAACACATGATTCCTGTCTGAATCTGAGCCACATGACAACTATTCGTTCAATTCTTCTCAGCACATTTTCACATGTATGAATCATTCTCAAGACGTGTTATGCGTAATCCTAATTTACACTTTCCTTTGCGGATTCTAATTTAAATTATGCATTTTGAATATTATTATATTTTTGTTTTTTTTCAAATCAGCAGTATACAGGGCTGTGTTATTAATCATGTTGTGTGAAACCTCTCCTGATTTCTGTACAGTATAAAAGGGGATGTTTAAAAGAGGACTTTCAGGAGGCTTAGCTATCTTTAATATATCTCACTTTGTGAAGTCAAAGTTGTTTATTCTCGGTGAAATGTTCCTTTAAAAGCTGTTTTATTTTAAATCAGTGGTGAGTAATATTACACTTGCATGGAAAGTTTAAAACATGCTGATGTGATTTTTTTTTTTATTTTTCATGCTTTTGTGTTTTAAGTTCATGTGTTTTTACAGTTTTCATTCCATCCCCCCCAAAAAATCACTTAATATGTGTTAAAAAAAATAAAAAGTTACATTTAATTTCTCTGGTATTTTAAAGACAAGAGTAAGGACTTTTGTCTGATTGGAAAAAAGACTTGCTCTGCTGGGTTCAGGCAGATGTGTGATAGTGATGTCACCTGCCCCTCAGCCTATGGCCATCCACCTCAGTCACATGACCACTTGCTCCGCCCATTATTATTTTGCACCCATCCACTCTGAACACACATTTGTGATTATGATCACACTGATACTGTTTTTAAACTTTAACATACGTTTACTGAGACTTTCGGAAACGGCATGAATTTTTGGACTATTTGCTACATCTGTAATAAATATTAAACGGGTTTAAATTAAGCATGTTTAACAGAATAATGCTGCAGTTTACATTGCAGTGTGAATTGCAAGTTTTATTTTGGATGAAAACTTCTGTTTTATGTGAGCATCTGTTCATCATAGTTTTAAGTCTTTGTTGACATAAGTTTAGAATTATTGAAAAGTTTTATTAAATTTTATAATTTAAGTATAAGTGCATATACATATGATTGGCACGCGTCTCCGTTTGCATGGATTTCTATTCATTCCCATTCATTTTCGTAATTTTAAGGTGAAAATTTGAAATTGAAGGGGAATTCCGTTCCACATGATAGTTGATTATTTTCTATATGTATGAAATTTTGTCATAAAATTTGTCATGATTTTTGATTGTAAAGTTTTGCTTTGTTCACTGTACAGATAAACCGTACCAGTGTAGTTTAATTTTATAATAAAAAAAAAGTTATGTAGTGATTAAAATATAAAACAAATAAATAAATCTGGACAAATATATATATATATATTTATTATTATTACATTTATACATTTAAATATTATATTATTAAAATATTTTTTAAATAAATGAATTAGTTTTAAACCGAAAACTTTGGATTATCAAACAGGAATTGAGTCCAATATGTCTAAACTGGTTCTGTATATCAGCCATATTCCTTCACCATGCAAGGATTGATTTATATTGTGTTCAAGCGTCCACCTCCATCTCCCCCTCATCTCTCGTGTTGACGGCCTGCTGTGTGTTTCTAGGCTGAGGGGGCGCAGGAGACTGCTGAGGGCAGCGGGGCTCCCTCTAGTGGTGTCTCTGCCACCCAGCCGTCAGCCGGCGCTGCCCAGGAGAATGGGCTGAAGGAGGCCGGCCCCTGCAGGAGTGAGGAGCTCCGGGACCCACAGGGCCTGGACTCGCTCATCCCTGAAACAAGTAAGTTTGTGTGTAACCCGGCCCGAGAAACCCAAAAAGACTAACCCCGTCAGACTAGAGGTCCTTTAGAACTGAAGACTCTCATTCACCACATTCACATTCCATTCCTCACATTTACTGCTAAATATTATTGGTTTCTACTTCATTTCATACACACTATTACTTTGTGGCTTTTTTTTTCTTTAGCTCTCAATTTTATGCTGCATGTGAATTGTTTGTTATTCTGTTGTCTGGTTTACCACTGTACAAGAGGTCGACCGATTAATAGTGTAAAACCAATAATGAAATGGGGGGGATCTGATTACTGATTAATTTGTCTGATTGTATTATCAAAATATTGAATAAAAACACTGAATGTAGCATTTTATTTTTTTGTTTTAAATTAAGAGCAAAATATTGAAAGTAAAATCAAATTATTTAAATTAAAACATTGAATATAAAATTTTTGAGTAAATTCAAAATGTTAAAACAAAATGTTAAATAAAAACATTAAATGTAACTTTAGGTAAAATCTAAATATGCAATAAAAACATTGAATGTAGCATTTACATTTTTTAAGTAAAATCAAACAATTAAATTAAAACATTGAATATAACATTTTTAGAGTAAATAAAAAAAAAATTAAAGTAACATTTTAGGTAAGATCAAAATCTTCAATAAAAATTGGAATACACATTTTATCTTTTTAATTACGCCAAAATATTGAATAAAAACATTGAATGTAATTTTTTTTTTAAGTAAAATCAAAATATTGAATAAAAACATTGAATGCACATTTAATCTTTTTAATTAGGTCAAAATATTGAATAAAAACTTTGATGTAACATTTTATTGTTTAAAGTAAAATCTAAATATTAAATAAAAACATTGATGTAACATTTTATTGTTTAAACTAAAATCAAAATATTGAATAAAAACATTGAATGCACATTTAATCTTTTTAATTAGGTCAAAATATTGAATAAAAACATTGATGTAACATTTTATTGTTTAAAGTAAAATCAAAATATTAAATAAAAACATTGATGTAACATTTTATTGTTTAAAGTAAAATCAAAATATTAAATAAAAACATTGATGTAACATTTTATTGTTTAAAGTAAAATCAAAATTGAAAAATTGAATATGACATTTCATTTATTTTAAAAATAAAATCAAAATATTGAATAAAAAATGAATTATTTTTTAGGTTTGTTTAAAACAAATTGAATGTTTCACTTTAGTTATAGTACAATTAGTCTGTTATTGGTGCAGATGAATCAATCGGTCGACCTCTGCGCTGGACAGATGTTTTTAAAGCACAGTTTTCTGATCTCCAAACTGTTTTGACCTTTTCTTATTTTTCAGGCATCTAACTCGACTTTTGCTGTCACTCTGCCCCTTTCATTTCACCCCCGACCTCTTCCTCTCCTCCCCTTGTTTATGTCCTGTCTTTCTCCACACTCTGATGCAGATTGAGTCTTTCAAGATAAATTTCCGCGAGAACGCCCGGTCTCGCACGGACCACGGTGCAGACATCATCACCTGGCCCGTCTCGGGTGACAGCCCTGTCCACTCCCACCTGCTCCGCAGCAGCGTCTCGCTCAACGACTCCCTCGCGACCTCTCACACCACCCCGGCCCTCCTCTCCTCCCAGGAACAAGGGGGCGATGTCGGCTCGCTCACCGGACTCCGGACATGATTTCTGTCTTCTCATTGGTCCGCTGCTCTCTAAAGCCCGCCTCCTTCCATTGCTAAGACTCACATGATTGGTGTGCTCTCTGTTGACGGTTCTGCTCGGTGAGGCTGTACAGACTACAGTCATCAGGATGTGCAAAACATGCCCTCAGTTGGAGCGAAATCTGTAAACTCACTTTAACATGGCTAAACTCACGCTACTCACACCTAGCAATCAGCACACCTGCTACATCACTTGTTGTAGAGCATGAATCTAGTATTCATAATCAAACCTGCACATACCCATCTGATCACCACATGCAAACACATCTGGATCCATCTGGACATCATCTCTCGCTGCCTTCAAGTCCTCATGGGAAGTTTGTGCTTACGAGTTATTTACCATGCGATCGTGTCATATGAAAAATCACTTTTTGACAAAATCGAGCTTTCTTTTAGTGCCAAAGCAACAAAATTAAGAGCAAAGGATGTGCATAAAAGGGTTAGTTCACCCAAAAATGAAAATTCTGTCATTACTCACCCTCATGTCGTTCCAAACCCGTAAGACCTCCGTTCATCTTCTGAACACAAATTAAGATATTTCTGATTAAATCCGAGAGCTCTCTGACCCTCCCATAGACAGCAAGGGTCCTACCACGATCCTTTTTTTTAAATATATATAGTGTAGAAACCATTTCCACTCAGAAATTGCTAGTAAGTTTCACAATTACATTCAACGCATTAATTAAACATGCAATTTTAACCTCTTAACTGTCACCCGTCCCCTCTGTGGGAAGTTTACTTCACTATATTACAATTAAATCCTAATCTAATCATGACAAACTATATATTGTTGGAAATGTCTAAGACTCCTAAATAGATATTTTACCACTGTTTTTTGTTAAAAAATTATGTAGGAAAAGTAATAGATTAATTTATGACAAGAGTGCACCTCAAAAATCTACGTCATAACAGGAGTTCTGACCTTTGTCACAAAAAGTCTTCGTTGCATCACACTTTAGAAATCATCAGAAATTATATATCAATTGAAAACTTAAAATCTCAAAATTCATCCTTTGAAACCCATTTAAAAATCAGACATTACCATGAATATGGTACATCAAAATCATGTTACAAAATGTTTTCGTTCATGAATTGTAAAAATGTAAGTTTGGATCGTGCACTTTCACGTCTATTTTCAAAAATGTGAGTGACAGTTAAGGGGTTAAAACAGAAAAACAAACATTTTCTTGTAAAATATACAGTTTTATTTACTACTACAAAACGTAATTTTTACAGTGGCGTCTTTAAAAACATAATTCAACATTTAATGTATTCAACATGTTAAAAAAAAATGCAATTCTGCAGGTTATATATTTTTTTTTTTTTTTTGCAGCTAAGAGGTCATGCCATGATCTTTTATTGGTTGCATGTCTTCACATCATACATCTTCGCAGAGCTTACCAAACTTTGATAAGCTTGCTTTTCCTGTCTCCACGTTCGCATGCGTATAAATGGAAGTCAATTAAACGTGTAGTGCGAACATCCCTTTATGCCTAAACAAGTATTTTCTGAAACATTTACACTTAAAATGGCTAATAACAGCTTTAACTTGGAAAGTCTAGATTTTGCTAGATTTTGTAAGCACGATCATTCCCGCTTGATTTGAAGGCAGCTTCATTCAGCATACAGGGCTGTCATGTGACCCTCGCTCACCTCACCCTTGACCTCCAGTAGAGCTGACTTTGAAGCACATAGGCTTTCTGAATCTCTCTAAAACTATTCTTGATGTGTGTGTTTGAGTGAATACTGTAGCAATGACCTGTGTTGTTAAACGCTTTCTTTTGACTCTTCGTTTTATTTTCGTGACCAGCGGATGTTTCCTTTTCCTCGTTATTGTAAAGCAATATAACGTCTCCTACAATGCCTATAAGACATGAAGCTCCATGTAAACGCACAGCAAACAGCGCTCATAGTGTCAAACGCAGCTCCAGACGGCTTCGTGAACGTGAAGAGGGTCTGAGGTGAACGTGTTTCCTTGTGGAAAAAGAAGTGCGCTTGTAGTGTACCTCAAATCTTAAAAGCACATTTAATATATTAATTATAATATAATATAACTGAAATAAAAGCCCACTTAAGTGTATGTAAAGTATGCTTTCATAACTACATACATACTTAAACACTCTTTGCTATAATCTGAAATTAAGTTTTACATTAAATTACATTTTGAGTCATTATTTTAATAATCTTTAAAGAAGTACACTTATTTTGATGTGCTGACTAACATACTAAAGCACATGTAGAATACTTGATTATTAACATTTGATTTAATTGTTACGTGCTCTGAAATATTTCGGTTTAATTTATTTTACTAAACTACAACTTCATTACAAATTTGTATTTAAAAATATATTTAAATACATGACCTACAAGTTTCAACAGAAATGACATTAAACTATTTTTCGTTTTACGTACATTTACACTTTAACCATCAAAGAGAAAAGAATTACGAAATTGCATGTAAAGATGTAATTAAGTCCTACTTAAGTGGGTCAAAAAAAGCATTCCTAAGTTCAGCTTATTGCATTTAATATAAATTTAAACCATAATACAATTTAATTTCATTTACCATGCAATTAAGTGTCTGAAAACATTACGTTCAATTAACACTCAAGTATATTCTTTCAAAGTGTATCATTTCCCTAATACTCTTTTTAAAAGTATGCTAAAGTGTGCTTCTTTTTCACAAGGTGAAGGAAGTAGATGTTGACTTGATGCACGAGGGGTTTCTGTTAGCAATGAATGGTTGATGTTTTGGCATCATGTACAGTAGGTACAGTATGTTTTTATATGGAAGTGAGGGTCGAGTTTGTGCCTGGTACCGATCGCATCCTGCCTTTGGAGGGACGCAGAGACAGAATGTCACGGCCTGAAACCTTTTATGTACTTTTAATAGTTGCTTATGAGAAATTGTGAGTGAGTCTGGTGGTGGTTTGAATTCTTCTCTTATTGCATACATTTCTGCAGGTCTTTATTAAGAGTAAAAGCTTCGCATTATAGTGTGATCGTGTGAGTGGAAAGGATCCTGCGGGGTTTTAACAGTGGAGCCTGTAGCTTATTTCCTCTTGTAGCATTTTCTGTTATACGGTAGTTTATCTTCAGATAGCCTTTTTGAGGTCGCACAGACTCACACGCTTGACATGTAGCCGCTTGGTTTAGTGTCCTTTTGGTGTAATAACAGGGTAAGCGGACGTGGCCCGCCCTTCTTTTTGTGTTATTTTCTTCTTCAGCTGTGGGCGGTACGGAGGTCGGACAGACAATTTTTAGCACACTTTTCTTTTTATGAGTATGACAAATTACTGTTGCATCTGTTGCTTATTCTCATCAGACCTCTTTAATCCCAGAACATGCAAAGCAATAATACTGTCAGTGTGACAGACCCCAGATTTTAACTTTTAGAAACCTACATCATGCATGACAGCGTAAAGCATTCAGATCATGAAATATTATGCGATTGATCGAAAAATTGACGAATGCATGTCCTTGTTAGAAAATCCAGTTTTTGAGAGGTAGCTTCGTTGAAATAAGGTTTAGATAAATACAAGTAGGACAGTGTAACTTCATTGTGTATTCTCATTTTTAAAGATTATTTAAATAACTCACCTATATGAATTGGTGGAAAATGCCAAAAAAATGTTTTTTTGTCAATTTACGAATTGATGATTTTGGGGCAATATTATTAGTAACTTCATTGTGTATTCTCATTTTTAAAGATTATTTAAATAACTCACCTATATGAATTGGTGGAAAATGCCAAAAAAATGGTTGCATGAATTTACGAATTGATGATTTTGGGGCAATATTATTATTTATAGTCTTTTTTTTTTTCTTTCCAGGAAATGAGAAGTGTGTAAATATTAGGCTAAAGTCTGAAGGGTTTTTTTTTGGTTAAGGACCTGTAGTCTTCGAGGACCGTAATAATGTTTAGCAGCTGTTTGTAGTGAAGAGGTCACATTTGAATCGGTTCCCTGTGCCTGAATGAACCCTGAGAACAATCCTACTATCATATATAGCCTCTTTACATGTATTTACAGTTGATTTCCCTATGGCTTTACTGCTGTCTCTGTCAATGCATTTAATATTGGCATAAAAAAGACATCTGCAATGGTCAAAGAAGCTGAGGGCTGATATTATGCACCTTTAACGGCTATTATTCATATTATTGTCACTTTGGCCCTGCATTTTTTTCAATGGAAAAGGCAGAGAACAAATGTATTCAAACTATATTAAAGCACATGTATTTGGCTGCCGTGTGTTTAATGTTGTGGCGAGCTTGGTAGCGCTTATGCCCAGGTGATGCCAGGTGGGTCACGTCCAGATATTTAGCCCATGTCCTCTTAACGTCTTCTAATAACTTCTAATAACCCTTTATGTTTCTATGAATCTTAGTCTTACAGGAAAATTATACTCGGAATAACACTGTCAAACTAAAATGAGGGGATTGCATTGAATGTGTTTCAATTGCACAGATTTTATTGTGCCATGAAGGACCAGGGCATCCTGTTGAAGCAGGGAGAGGAGAGGTCCAATTATTGTTATTAATATTATTATTACGGTTATGATTTTTTGTTTTGTTTTTCTTATTTGGGAGTAATCTGGGAGAGATATTGCCCTGGAGCCTAATTACACTCTTAAAGATGTACAACCCTAAAGTAACATGGAAACTAAAGAAACATGACATTAATGTGCTGTAGATTCGGTTTCTCGAGATGCAGTAAGAAGCTCTATGAGGTGATATGAACAGAACATTCAGGCTGTTTGCCAGACTCATCATTTGCAAGGTTTTTGTCGGGTTTGTTTTTCCGAAGTTTTTCCATGAAAATTAAATTTCATTATATTTTTTTGGTTTGAATGAGGTGTTTATTGTGGTTAATTGTTAACTATGATGTGATTATTAAAGATTAAATAAAATAAAGTTTAAAACATTATGTAGGTTGGGTTTGATCTTTAATATTAAAGCAAATGTTTCTTGTCTCCAGGATCATAAGTATTTATATGCTTCACAAAAAAAAAACATTTGTTTTGTTTATATTGCGATGTATTTTATTGACCATTTCAAGGAAGTAAAGTCAAACGCGTTGCGATGATACTGTGCATGTCTGGTGCTAAAGCATTTCCGGTGGCGCCATTTTTAAATCACAGACATGTCTAAACAAAATGACTTGCACGTACTTTTTAAGTCTAGCTAAAACAGAACAGTTAAGATATAAAAATTAAAAAAAACTTAAGAATAGACGATGAAGTTGAATTACCCGACCCCTTAAATCAGACACTGAGGCGACAGCTTTTCACTAAACATTTACAAGAAATAACGTACCCAGATGTGTATCAGTATCTGGCTAACGTGTCTTTATCTAATTAATATTCAATTCTAATTCATCACGTGTTGTTGGTTTTAGATAAAAGTAGATACTTGCTGATTAGTCGGTGTATACACTAGTCAACATTTGAAGTGGATCAAACCCTTTCATCAAAGTTGTCCTAAAACCAAAATGCGTCTGT